TGATATATATGCATGGAACAAGTAGTAGGGTTTTGATGCAAAAATAACAAATAGCAAGCTTACATCTCTGACACTGTTGACTCCTGGGTCAGCTCTTCCAAGAGCTGACTTGGGGGGGGGGGGCAATTTCTGGTTCAGCAGCCTGTTGCCTATAACAAACATTACATAAACAAAAAACAGTTATTGGTATTACTTTGACGGGTTTGTTTTAGGATAGGTAACATTCTCCTGACAATACCCATCCCAGGTGTTGTTTGCTTTCCACACACCTAAATGCATAGCAGATGAAAGACCCCAGAAAATTGGAGATATACGTTTACCAGTCCTCCTAACAGTGCATACTAAACTATCACAATACTGCAAGATAATGTTTACTGTTTCAATTCCCTTATTTGTCACAGTAGAGCCTGCATCTTGTTCTTTAATAAATAAAACTAGATTCAATGTATAATACTTACTGAGTCTTGTCTGCAGCTGCTTTTCCTACATCTGTGCTCCAACGTGGGCTCTTGCGCCAGAATTGGTGCGGTGACTCCGTCTTTCTTTTGCTGTCACATTTCCCAGAATGTCCCTTTGGCATTGAACAAGGTCTGTTCTTCTTGAAACAGAAGACAATCCTGAAATGTAGTAAATTATCGTCAACATTGGAATATCCAAGTCTACTACTAGTATTTGTAGACATGTGACATTACAAGTGGCATAACATTTTTTATATGTACTTTCATGAGAACTAATACCAGACACTGCTAACACCAGATTTTTCAACACATTTCAAGAAATTTTAAATGAAAATGTAGCAATTGTTTGTATGTATCATTATAATACATGTATGTATGTAAGTGTGGAAGAAAACCAACCTTTCTGTGTCTTCTTCTGGATTATCCATGGCCGAATGAACAAGGAATGCTCAGTCATAGAGACCTATACCAATGAATGAGTAGGTCCCAGTTAGCATTTGCACACATATTTTGAAGAGCACAAACAGAAAAAATACAATTTTTGCTTTCACCACAAGACATTTGGGCTAACAACAAAACACAAGTGAAGATACTGTACAAATTACTACCATAAGTCCATGACCCAAGCTAATTTGGGTGCTCAATCAAATTCTACATTTCCAGTAACCCCCTTTTCCTTGTTATATAAATAACTATTGGAATATTCCTGGAATTTTATGCAGTATAATTAATAACACTTACATAAAGTTTATTAGATTTGGGGAAATATCTTTGGGTCAGCTGAATGCTACTGTTCTTTGTTCAAAGTTGTACACTCTCTTGCTTGTTACTAGTTTCTGTGGGATATCCATGATGATACTAGTATTGAATATTTATATACAAATAACATTTTACTAAAAACGGATACTTGACTTTTGCAGACGAAATTTAAAGACCATAGCAAAAAATGCAGCTCTTTCTTTCAGCTTCAATAGAACAAAGAATTTCACATAGAGACCAAGCTAAAACCAAACAAGTTTACACCAAGCAAGGAGGCTCCAAGTCTGCTAAGTTTTTTCTTATCTTATTAAATCTTTTTATGCCCTTTAAAATCATATGCATACTGAAGGATGTTTGATTTTTACCAACGAAAGTAACAACTTAGACTGGTTTAACTTCAAAGGTAGGACTTGCTTTCAGCGTCATTTAGAACAAAGGATGCAAAGCAAAGCGAAAACCAAGCCGTTAACAATAACAATTTTACTTCGTTCAGCAAGGAGGCTACAAGTCTGCTAAAATGATCTTTTGCTTACTAGTTTTTCAAGGTTACCCTCTACATAATGTGTATATCATCTAGATTCTAGTAACATTCGTTTCTGCCAGAAAAGAAAGGTACCGAAAAAAAGACGCCGAGAAAGTTAACATACACTATCTGAAAAAAAATAGGACCCCGACCAAGCCAAGCGCTAACAAATCATCACGGTTTCACTCTCTTAACTACGAGTTAGACGCCACCAAAATAATTTTACACTTCAAGTATATTTCTCTCAAATATATTATGTCAACAATCAAATCAACTCACCGGGCATGTGGTAGTACTAGTAACTGCACGATCCAAACGAGGACGATCAAACTTACGATGCGACGCCAGGCAAAAAATGTACAGAAATGACTAACCTTCTCGTCGTGTCAGTATCGCCAATTCACACTTTCAAAACTGCCGCGCATCTCGAGCTCGGATTTGAAAAACAAAAGCGGTGCGGCCAGGAGGGCCGAGGATTTGCATGTAACTGCACTCGGAAACAATGGCGCCCGATAATCAGTGTCTTTGAGGGACGCCGCCGTAGCTGATTATAGCTTGAAAACAAAGTCTTACTTCCACGTGAAAGCTCCGAGTAAAGGGTACATGTAATATTTTGGCCCATAACTTTTGATCTAATAAGGATTTTTTACGAAAACACCAAAAATCGAAAGGGCACAGTCCCGCCGCCATCTTGATGACGCGTTC